GTCCCCCTGTGTGAACTATTTCAGACCCGCGATCCCTTATTATTGTTATCATATGAGCAGTTCTGGAGAACTTTAGCAGTCTTGTTTTCATGTCAAGACCAGACACCCAGGGGCATAATGCAGAGTATTGTGCAGGCCCCAGTGAAGGAGTTTCTATGATGGCTTGCAATTGGTTGTCATTTGATACTACCTTATTGATGCAATGTAGCGGATCTGAGACAGATGATGCTGAGCTGTCAGATTACATCTTGATGGCGGTTAGATACCATGAGTTGGCAGATCAGCACAAAGGCGGGAGTTGATTGTGATATGTTGCCATTTTGAGTGCGTTTTAGTCTTTTGACCATAATTTTGGCTACGGGTGTCGGAATCGCGCATAAGACCCCAATTCGGAAAACCCCTTTCGATGCGCACGCTGTCCTCATGGAATATAGCTCCATGTGTCCTTTTTTCGACATCAAATTCTACCGTTTTCCCCTCTAAATCACTAGTTTTATTTATTTTTTACTATTTATGGTAATATTTCGCTTGTTAGTTAGGAAGTCATTTTAAATATGATTTGTGCCGGATTTTTTGCCGATTGCTTAATTTATTTCGAATTTCAATTTAGAGTGGTTTCCGAGATTTTGCTATTTTTGACAAAATTCGGATAAAGACGATTTTTTGGTATAACAGTCCGACTTGTAGACTGATTTTGACATTGTTTGATTTTATAATATTCCGTTAAACCCTATAGACTTTTTTCCTCTGGCTTTGGACGAATTTTCTCTTGTGAATCATCTGTTGAAACTAGTCTGCAGGATAATCGCTATCGCGTCACTTATGTACAAATGTGATTATTCCACCCTCATGAGATTTCCCTTTGAACTCAGAATTCGAGTCCGGAAAGTAACCCCTTGCCATTAGGACCGGATGAAGATGAAGGTTCCGGCCGATGTTTCGATTCTTCAACCCACTCGTATGCGTTAGAAGTGGTCTCAAAATTGCACCACATGCTGATATTGTTACTTTGGCCTCTATATGCATTTTCTTTGAGATATTTTGATTTGAAGGCTTTGTAATAACTCCCAAGAACTTCATTTTCCTTGTACTGCCCATCTTGTTTTGTTCCAATATGAATCTTTCGGTCTTGCACCCTGTTATGGTCACTGCATCGCAGTTTACGGCATGCGACTATCCATGTTCGAACAGTTCCTTTTCTTGTCTCCTCTTCTGCAACCTAAACCGCATGATCTACAGTAATGGCTATCGGAGGAATTCCGAGGCACTTTCTCGACTTCAAAGCCAAGATTTTCGCACCCTTTCCGAAGTACTTGGTTCTGAAATCCTTCCGCTTTACAATCTTCCGTGACACCAAGTCTTTCCCAAACAGTTTCCATTGCTGAAACATATTCATTGCTCCCAAAGAGAGGTATTTGACAGTCCTCAGCCCATTCTTTAAGCGTAGGTTTTGGTGTCTTGATGAAGGCCGACCAGTTTACGGCCGAGCCACCACCAACTGTCGACCCTGCAAGAAGCATCACCTGCACGTCAAGGGTCGGAAGGATTCCCCCGTACTCGTATAGTCGATCCAACGAGGGGCTTTCGAAGGGTGAACACTCAGCGGGCGTAAAATAGTTTCCCTTCTCTAGAACGACTTGAAGGCCCGATGATTACGACATAGCATTTGATCCTGCAGACGTTTTGTTTAGCATCTTCCGCGTTAGAGATTTATAAAGAGCGGAGTCATCCTCATGCACAGTCTCAATCAATCCTTTTTGAAGAGGCCTTTCCTTTGTTGCTTGATACGTATCCTCAACATTGTCTGCATTGTATCCAATAGCTTCCCATGCCGGATTATGACCATCTTCTCCTACCTGAACATGAACATTACATTATAACCCGACCCAATTCAGTATCCGGACTCCGAATTTGCCTACTTCATCTGTTAGACTAACTTTTTAAGTAAAATTAACTTTAGCATTTTAACCATAATAGTTACTGATGTAAAATGATTTGAACGAATTAATGTCATTATACAAATAAAGGGACTAAACTATCAGAAGTTAAAGTATAGACTAAAATGTAAAGTTAATCACAGTGGAGGGACAAAAGTCATAATTTGACCATATATATGTGTTTATTGTATGTTTTAGATGCTACATAATCGGAACAACTTGGACAATTTGAACTTTATTAATTTGTGAAGTTGAGTTTGAGATAGGAACGCCACATTTATTTCTTTCACGAATTGGTTCGAGAAATGAAATTTATTACAATCAACAACCAACTTTTTATAAATAAATGCTCATTTCCACTTTCGTTTCACATGTATGATATTTTTTTCTCACGAATTGGTTAGAGAATTCTTATGACAAACTATACATTTAGTACCTAAATTATTCTTTTTACTTTATTTTGGAAATCAATAATTTTTTCAAAATTATACCTAACCTTTAGTTTAATTTCATTTTGGTACTTTGACATTAAAAATTTAACGGTGATGTTAGAGTGTCACCATAAGGTAACGTCACATTAACATTGAAAAAAAAAATACCATGTTACAGTTCTATTAAGTTTTTAATGGCGATGTATTAAATTAAAACTTAAATTAAATGTTAGGTATAATTTAAAAAAATAAAATTTATGTACCGAAATAGAACAAAACAATAGTTCAAATACTAAATATGTAGTTTATCCAATTTATTACAATCAACTACCAAGTTAGTTGTGTTGATTTTTTAAGTTCTCATTTCAATTGGACGCAAGAGCGTATGTATAATTGGCTATATTAATTGTTTATAGATTCATAGAAATCCCTTGTAATCCATCAATCAAAAGCATTAATTTAGGGATGGGCACGGGTCGGCTTTGGGTTGGGTTTTGGTCAATTCGACCTAACTCGAAAATTTTACACCTTCCACTCGATCTGATTTTTTGAGATAAAATCTAAACCCGACCTGACACGATCCAAAATAATATATTTTTAAGAATACAATTTTTTAATTATTTAAAATACCATAAGTTTAGAAATATGTATTAAGTTTTTTGACATTATTTTGGATTTTTATTTTTTAAAATTTTTATGTATTTAAAATTATGATTTAAAAAAAAAATCAATAATTTTCTTGCAAAAAAACTCTTTCTTCATAAACCAAGAATTATATAATTTTCTATATTTTTTAATATATATATTGCATCAGAAAAACATATGTTTTGAAAAAAAATTGATGAATTTTCTCATTTAAAAAAATCTACAAATTCTTAAATTTTTTTTTGGAGTTCTTTTTAACGTTTTTACCTTTTAATCTCTTTTTAAATTTTATGTATTTAAATTATTTATTAAAATTAAGAAACTTTGAGAAATTTTTCCATTTTTATGATTTTTTAAATTTATTATATTTTATGTGTAACGTGAGATGTTAATATATTGTTATGCGGCTTTTTTTTAACAAAAAATAAAATAAAAGAGAAAAAAATAGAAATTAAATAAATAAATTTTATTTTCTATAAATTTGGATGAATATAAGATAATATTTATTTTTAATAAAAGAGAAATTAAACTGAATAAATAATTTTTTTGATGAATCTGGTGAATTTAAATACTTTCAATTTTTTAACAATAAATGCTCATACCCTTATATACACAATGTTTAAACTCGAGATTTTAAGGGATAACGACAAATCTTTTAACCACTGAGATTACTTAAATAGTGAACATACCAAAATAATATAAAAACACAATTTCGCGTATCAAAATATCATTTATCTCTTAATTTTAAAAATGATAACAAAGTGGCGTTAAGCTTAGATCATTAATAATTTTTAAAATCCAATTGAGGAATTATGAATCTTGCCGAAAGTTTTTAACCAATCTAAGCTAAATATTTGATTATTACAACAAGTTCATCGAGGAATACTAAAATTCCAAGCTATCTTAATTTTCAGAATCTCTGCTTGATTGAAATAGTAAATGTTGAGGTTTAATTATGGTTTTAGTAGCTCTATTGTGCTCAAATTTAGGTTTAAGTCTTTATATTTGAATTTAATATGATTTCATCTATTTATTTTTATTAATTTACTAACTACTCTAAATATTTATCAATGTCAATTATTTCAATTAATATTGAAATGATTTTTTAAATGTGTTTTTGAGAAAGAAAATTTTACTTCAATTTCAGAGATTAAGGGTCAAATGAGTAGCATGAAAAAAATATAGAGTAAATATTAAATTTGTTTATAGTATGTGGACTAGAAGTAAAATTGATGTGAATATTAGCAAGTTGCAAAAAACAATAAATTAAGTTCCAGATGCCACCATATGGGGATATCGTAAACAAACATGATCGATCAAGAAGAAGACATTAAAAGCATAAGATTCCGGAATTAAGTTCGAGTTAAATTCCTCGGCCATTTCACCACATAAATCATGAGTCGATTTCATCTTATCTTATCTCAAAGAGAATTTATTTATTTTTGATTGATGGAAACAAATTAATTGAACTGATTATAGAAAATATTTCTTTTTTGAATTTATCATATGTATGCCGACAGGTTAAGTGAATATTATCAGTTTGTGATAGATTTATCTATGATTGGAGGTCATATCAACATGCCATGATTTTTCGAGATTTATCTTTGAAATTTTTGTTGAAATGAGATTTAATTTAATTCTAAGATTTGATGGATAACCAACGGCCATAATTTTTTTAATGGATGCATGAGAATATAGCATCTGATTTTGTTTTGGATTTCTTTGAACACCGTGTTGACAGGAAAATGTGAACAACGAAACCCCGCCTTTCAATTTTCCGTATATTTATTTCGAATTGTTTAAAAAGAGAAAGGAATATCGTATAAAATAATTTCAGGTAGTGTGAAGTCGGGTGGGGCAGCAAGGAATCTCATGTTTAAACCATGAATGAAGCATTATTTTCTTCCACCATGTTCAGCCCTTCTGCCTTTTCTCTAGATTTTTTTTCTTCAAATTTCCCCTTTCAATGCTATAAATTACCCATCAACTTAGACTATAACAAATGAAGGGGAAAAAAGAAGAGCATGGGGGAAGAGAAAGAGGGTGCCAAAGAGAGAGTAGTTGACATTAGTCTCAAGGATCTTTCAAAGAAACTCGAGGAATTCGCCAATGCCAGAGACTGGAACAAATACCACAGTCCTAGGAATCTCCTCCTTGCTATGGTAATCATTTCATTATCATTTGAATTTCGTGTATGTCTACCCTTGATCTTATTCTTTAGACAACTTCACCTACGTTATTTCGAGTCTTTTATTTAAAAAGACATTCACGTTTGGTATCTGTGTTTGTCTGTTTGACACACATTCAAACATAAATATAAAATATCAAAATAAATATATTGATCGTATGTAGAAGTATGATATATTCGACATAAATTACAAAACCTAGAAACAACCGAGGATAATAGTCTTATCCGAGTTCGAATAATGATATTGTTTTTTGGAATATGGATGTGTAGGTTGGAGAAGTAGGGGAGCTATCAGAGATTTTCCAATGGAGAGGGGAAGTGGAGAAAGGATTGCCAAACTGGGAAGAATCAGATAAAGAACATCTAGGAGAAGAGCTTTCAGATGTACTTTTATACCTCATTAGATTGTCTGATATTTGTGGCATTGATCTTGCTGATGCTGCTTCCAGAAAACTTGTTAAGAATGCTATCAAATACCCATCACCCAAGGTTTTATGAAACGCCTTTCCCTTCAAAAATTTTCCTGAAAAAATGAAGCCATATCAACTTTCTTGTGAGAGTTTAGAATAATAAAATATTCTTCATTTTGCTTTCTGTTTTGACCTTATTCCTAAACAAAGTTTCCTTTGTAATCAAATAATTATCTCTATAAGTAGATACAAGAGATTAGCATTAGAAGTTAAGTTGATATCTGCCTAAAGTTTTTTTTTGGGATAAATCTTTATTTTATTATCCAAGAACAGTAACTAATACAAAAAATCATCAGAGATCAGAAACAATGATCAACCTATACAAAAGAATCAGATCATTCAATACCCCTATGTTCACATAGAGTAATGTTAACAGTGTCATTCCTATTAATATTCCTATCACTCAATTGAATTCTAACATTATCCTTAATGGTAAGGAATATATCTTGTAAGTTTCTGGATCGATCTTGAAACAATCGTTTGTTGTGTTCGTTCCATAGAGTATATATAAGAGCTGTTAAATCAAGTTTCATGATCAAAGTTAGAAGGGGTTTTCCTTTTCAGTTCGTGCTTGCCCACATGATAAGATCTTCCCAAGAGTAAATATTGAATTGCAGACCAGATGTGGACAAAACAGTATACCAAAGGGTTAGCTATACGACAGTTAAAGAACAAATGCTCCCTCATTTCACAAAGGTCATCACAGAGAAGGCATTTGCAATCAGTAATAATTCCCATATGGTAGAGCCTATCTCTAGTTGGAAGTCGATCAAGTAGAGCCATCTAAGTGATTAAACTAAATTTAGGGATGTGTAGAGGGAACCAGATAATTTTTTGCCATGGAACTTGAGGTTTTTTATCACGAAAAGCGTCCCATATATCAGAACTTTTTTTTTTCTGTTCCACCGGTAAGAATGGGATAAGCCACAACTTGAAGTTTGAATATACGCTTAAGGCTCCAGCTGAAAGAAGAACCGATATCAACATTCCAAAAATCATTGCCATTGAGAACATAGTTATTTATCCAGGCCACCCATAAGGACCCTTCTCCTGCCATAATTTTTTTTTAATAAGGAACACCATTGAAGCTTTATTCCATGTTTTCAAGTCTTTAATTCCAACGCCACCTTTAGATTTTAAGTGAAAAACATGCTGTCAACTCACCCTTGCACCAGATGCTGATTTATCAGCCCCTTTCCAGAAGAAGCGCGAACAGAGCTGCTCAACTTTGCTTAATATCGATTGAGGCAGAAAGATTTACCTGCACCAGTAGTTTGTAATGTTGAATAAAACAGTTTTAATAAGTTTGAGTCTTCCAGCATAGCTCAAAGTTTTAATAGTTCAATGGTTAAGTTTTGCTCTAATATTATCAATGAGAGAAGAACAGACCTTTTCAGAGATTTTTCTAGAGACCAACGGGATTCCTAAATAGCGCACTGACAAACTGCCAATTTTAAACCTTGTGACCGAATGAATTTCCTCAAGAGATGAAGAATGTAAACCAGCAGCATAAAAGTCACATTTTGAGGCATTAAGCTTTAGGCCTGAAATCTCATAAAAAAATTCCAAAACACTTGTGACCCCAATGACAGAATCAATTGAACCTTTGCAGAAAATTAAGAGGTCGTCAGCAAAAGAAAGGTGGGAGAGGCCTATTCGTTTGCATTTAGGATGGTACCCGAAGAGACCCCTTTCAGCTGCTAAATTGAGGAGTCTAGATAGGACATTCATTGAAAGTACGAATAGCAAAGGAGATAGGGGATCTCCTTGTCTAATTCCTTTGGCTCCTTTAAAAAACCCTATTAAAGTCCCATTGAAGGATATGTAATATTTGGTAGAGAAGCAGATTTCAATCCATTTGATGAAGATAGGAGGTCGACCAATAGCTTTTAAGATGACAGAGATGAAATCCCAATGAAGAGTATCAAAGGCTTTATGAATATCAATCTTAAGGGAACATTTAGGAGAAATATTTTTTCTATTGTAACCTCAAACCAATTCTTGAGCAAGAAGAGTATTGTCCACAATGCTTCTTCCTTTAACAAAAGTTGTTTGGTTTAGGGAGACTAAATCTAGAATGATCTTTTGAAGTCTCTAAACTAGGATTTTGGAGATGGCCTTATAGAAGAATGAACAACAAGATATTGGCCTGAAATCCTTAAATTTGCTTGGGTTAGGAATTTTAGGGACCAGTGCTTTGATGGTAGCGTTAAAATCTGGTAGGAGAGAAGAATCAAGAAAGAAATATTGAACAGAAACAGCGACATCTTCTCCTATGATATGCCAAGCTTTTTTGAAAAAGAAAGAAATGTATCCATCTGGCCCAGGAGACTTGTCGTTACCTTGACAAAACAAGGAAGCCTTAATTTCTTCATTAGTGACTTCCTTAATAAGAACATTAGCATTGTCATCAGTAATAGTGGATTGGAAAATGTCTTTCAACAAGGAATGATCAATAGCTTTCACCTCATTGTCAATGGTGCCAATCAAGTTAGTGAAGTAGTTGATTACCTCAGCTGACATAGAATCAAAAGATTCGACTCTGTTACCATAGTCATCAACAAGGATTCGAATGGTATCCCTTTGGTGTTTTAGAGCAAGAGCATAATGGAATAGTTTGGAGCATTTGTCGCCCTCTTTAAGCCATTGAATCTTTTATTTTTGCTTTTAAAAACAGAGATTCTGCTGATTCGAGAGATTTGAGATCATTTTGCAGCTGAATTGCCTTTTCTATAGAATCCTCACCCATTAGAGTTTTAAGCTGTTGATGCTCTAATTCATATTTCTTTTAAAGAGCCCTTATAGTGATATCACTATAATTGGAATGATTGAGTTCTCTAAGCTTGACTTTAAGACGCTTAAGTTTAGAAAAAAAAGATTCTGCATTGGATTTCCTTGAGTAGGAATGATCCAAGATTGCTCAACAATAGTCAAAAATTGGGATGGAGAGCCCAGAAATTGAAGAACTTGAAAGGTTTGGACCTATTGGCTTGAACATCTATGAAGAGCCAGACTAAAGATAAGCAATGATCAGATATACCATGGGGGAGGAATTCAATATCAGAACTTTTGAAATTGCTCATCTAGATAGGGTTAACTAAGACTCGATCAAGCTTTCTAGCAAGAAAGTAATTTTGTTGCTTGTTGCTCCAAGTGAAGATAGGACCAAAATAAGGGTGATCTAAGAGATCGAGGCCAAAAATAATGTCTTGAAATTCTTTCATCTTTGGAGAAATAATAGGACCTAGAAAAACAGAATCAAAACTCTCATGGGGGTGAAGGGTGACAATGAAGTCACCTCCAAGAATCCAGGGGGATTGGCCAGCGATGGAATTCAGGAGATAAAGCTGCTGCCAGAGAGATCTTCTCTGGACACCATCATTATTACCGTAGACAGCAGTAATAGTTAGAGAGTCACCAAGATGAAAGCCTTTGATAGACACACATTGATCAGTAGTATGAATAACAGAAAAATCAAGTCCAATTTTCCAAAGAAGCCAAATTCTTCCATTAATAGCAAAATCATAATTTGTTGCAGCAGTCCAATTTTTAAATTTGTTTTGTAAAATATTTTCAGCCTTATTAGCTTTAACTCTGGTTTCCAAAAGACAGAGAACTTCAACTTTATTCTGAATAGCTCTTTTGAGAAATTTTTCTTGTTTTAGAGGACAATTTAGTCCTCTAACGTTCCAAAAAGCAACAATCATTGAGAAAAGTTGGCGGTGGCAACCTCATTGCCATCTTCAACATTGGACTTAGCCATCACTAGTTTGTTTTTCTTCTTAGATTTTAGGTCATTAACTAGGGTAGCTACACCTAGAGCAGACTTATCGGGTTTACGCTTAGGCACTGTTGTTACAGAGTTAGCATCATCGACCTCGTTAAGAACTTTGAATCTATTAGAAGAAGCAGCAAGGGATGGATTTAGCTTTGGACTATCCCTGCCTTTCTTAGTAGCTGCCCGAGAGTTATCACCCTTATCTATAGATTGAAAAGCATTTTGTTCAGGATTATGTGGTACCTCTACTGGTTCCTCCATAGTAAGATTAGGGTCCTTAACAAATTCTTTGTTAACAGGTTCAGGGATTTCATCTCTCTTTAGAGTCCAGAATAGAGGGAAGATGTTTTTCTTGTAAGAGCTCAATTCCCCTAACAGTAGTCTCAACCTCAATAATATGAGGTTGTTGTTCTTTTTTCCTCCAAATTTGAGTTTTAACTAGAGCTTGGACTTTAGAATTCTTGAAACCCTTATCAGAATGGCCAAAGATGCAATAGGATTTTCATCGAGGTAGAAGCCAAGGCACCTCAACAGCAACCGAGACAATTTTCCCTTCACTAAGAATCACATCTATGAATTTAGGGATATCGTCTGTTACCCCTATCTCTATGCAAATTTTAGAATATTCAAGGTGGGTCTTAGCAGTTGTTATAGAGTCCATGGAAAGGGGAATTCCAATGGCGCTCACAATGTAGCTTAAGCCAGCACGGTTAAAGAATTCTATGGGGATATTAAAGAGATGAACCCAAACAGGTAACCTAGACACATCAAAGTTTAGTCTACGCATATTCGGTTCCCATTTCTTTAGAATCAAGGGCTTATTAAGGATGTGCCAAGGTTCGTTCTCTAATAGCCAATTTCTATCAGATTCAGAAGAAAATGAGAAAACGTACAGATTGTTACCAGCATAGCTAACCTTTACGTGATTTCCCGCTAAAGCTTTCTTCCAAAGATTCTCCACAATCCGCTGCATAGATGCAAATCTGGGTGCTGCACCAAGAAATTGACCCACGAGCGAGTGGTTCCATTCAGAAATTCCAAATAGAAGGACCTCTGGAGGAGGATGAACCACGGTGGAGCCATCGCGAGCAGAAGGAGGAAAGTAGTCTAAGCCTTGACCCACAGTGCACCCAAAAAGATCTCTCCAGTTCATTGGGTCTTCACTCAATAAAGAAATTTGGATCGAAAAGACAGAAGGTAAAAAGCATAGCACCAGAAGAAGCACGGAGGCGCTAAAACGTGACGGAGATCCTCAGATTCGTTAGGCCAGCTAACGTGCACCGGAGAAACCTTATCGTGCGCCTCATAAAAGGGGTGGTGGCGCAGTTAATTATGATCCAATATCTGCCTAAAGTTGCAATCCTCTTGTATTGTTCTTTTTTCCAAAAGAATTTTCCACATAAAAATATTTGTATTTATTTTTTGCGTAATCACTAATATACTTATCATTATCTTTTAATCGTATTAAATAAAAAAAAAAACAACAAAAACTATTACAACAAAACATGAGTAACAAAATATCTCCTTGTATTCCTACACCATTAACTAAACCTCATGCTATATAAGTTTGTTTATTTACATCATCACTTGTGTTGAAACAAATATTATCTAATATAATTCTAACACATTCCTTAATTAAATCCAGCAGCTGCAATTCAATCTTTTGTTAATGTCCTAATTCTCTGAAATTTCTTTCCCTCCAAATAAAACTCTAGATAAGTCATCATACTGAAAACAATCTTGTGTGTATACTGAAAAATAGGGGGAAGCAATTTAAAAACGAAAGACAAACTATCTTGCTATTTCTTTAGGCGTACAAGTCTAAGCCATAGTTGTGCATGCCTTGTAAACTGATTCAAGGCACTGATAAGTTGTTACAAACGAGTTAAAATATTATGCATGCATATGCAACAAAATGATAATGTTAAATAAGTCACATGTGCTGTCAATTAACATAAATGGATCAAAATCTCAGTGAAAACTGGCCACCATATTTGTTTCTGCTAACGTTTGCGCCTCAGTTTTGATTCCGAGTTTGGAGGAGATGTCAGTCGTGAAACCATCTGATGTTTTCTGGAAACCCTTTTCTCCCCTTTGGTATTCAGATCCCAACAAAGACCCTTTTTCAGGGATTGGAGGACAGTCCCAGAGGTGTAAACATTTCAAACTTTCATCCTCCGATGTGGGATATAGGAGGGATTTATTCTCCAAGTCAAAAAGAGGATTTTGTAATTTGTCTATGAGCTGATGATCGTGTATGATGATATCATGGGGTGTTGAAGGTGATGTGTAAGATGACCCAAATGACGAATTGGAAGCTCTTGATGAATCTGATGATGATGGAGATGTTGTTGAATTGCCAAATCCTTTGATTTCTTTTGATGTTTTAAGGGCCTTTAATCTTGCTTGTCTTAATGTTTCGCCTCCTTGTAGTAGTTCCATGACTTTATCTGATCTTTTCTGCATGTTTAGACCCCAATCCACCCTAACAATGAAACAATAATTTACGCATTATATGCACAAAAAAGCGTTTCATTTCACTAAACGAACTATATACTGATAGATTTATCAAAAAAATTATACACGATAGAAACATTAATATATTAATTAAAACTATGGTCTTGTACTAAATATAAATTAAAGCAAAGAAACAAAGATTACGTACCCATTGTCATCAACGTGTTTAAATGTTGCAAGCTCTTCAATAACCTCAGAATCACATATAAATTCATCAACAAAAGTTGTAGGGCCATGAGTTAGTAAGAATTCGAGGAGTATCAATGTTTTGTAAGATTGTCTCCAATGCTTCCAATCAATGCGACCCAACCTAACCATATCATTTATCATGTAAATTCCAACTTATAGAAATCAAATCATTATTACTCTAGGACTAGGTACAATTATAAGGAGAGAACAAATTACATTGTCCAAAAAAAAAAAGAATCATCACCTTTTGTGCATGATATGAACAATCCTCCAATAATCATTCATGTTAAATGATGCGTCTGATATCTTTGTCATTGTTCTAGCATCAGGTCCCCGTGGATCATTGTTTGTTGCATCTTCAGTCAATCTTCATTGCCGTGTTCATAAAACCAACAGTTATTTTTCACCAGGTTATTGATAGGAAAACATTTACATATATGTATAAAGGACTTACAATTCTGCAGCAGTAACATCAGTGAAGGCAATCCTAGCGTTTCTGTACTTTTCTTGAAGAAAACAAGAAGCTTGTTTCTTTATCTTGTTTAATAGCAAGGTCCCCATTAATAGAAGCTTGATTTTCTTTTATTTTTCAAGAGAAGGTTTTGAGCTCTTTTAATCAGAAATTTAATAAATTAAAGGTTGTGATGAAGAATTTTTATTGAATCTAATAAGAAGAAATTTGTTTAGACTTGTTTTTTGTATGGATAGGCATGGTTTTAGTTCAAAGTTTTTAGCGAAATTGCTCAACTCTTGACAATGAGAAAGGGGAAATTAATGTTTGAATGAGCAGAAAATTAGGATCCTCAAATGTTGAAAGCCCATGGATTTTATTACTTGGAGTTTAGCATTTTCATGGGAATGCACCAAGTAATTAACTATGATCTTTTAATATTTACTCTAAATAAAAAAAATTGAGAGATGTAAATCACTTAATATTGAATTTTAGAAATAAAAAAGTACGCAGAACCAACAAATAGTTTCAAAGGTAAAATCGATTTTGAATCTATCAAGTAGTCTCGTTGATAAAAAAGAATAACGCTCTTCCTAAAAGATCCAGATTTAAACAGTTACGTGTACTGAATGTGTGCGCTATCAATAAACTAAGAAAAATTATTAACATATATTATTTTATAATCACTCCAAACTTTTAGTTAAAAAAAAGTTAAATCAGGTAATTTCAAAATGGTTATAGTAGAGAATCTTTCACTATTGACGTTTTTTTTATCGGCAAAAGGAATTTTATTTATTGAAACTTAAATTAGGAATTCCATTAAAAACCTCTCTAATTCTAATCAGAAATAAGTACAACCCTTTGAACAGAGCCACAACATACGACACCCCGCACAAATACATTTAATCCGAAGATTAATTGAAGAGCAACCCCTACACAATCTCATGGCAGCCGTATAACACCAAACAGGAAACTAGACAATAAGCTGAGAATCAACTACGAGGCGCAACCAACATTTCAAAATGAGCAGGATACAACACCTACAGTCAAAAAAACAAGAAACCAAATAAAAGCCACAGTACCACGCCTCCACCCTACCACCTTTGTCCCTTCATCTTATCACAGGTTTGGATTCTAACCTCTTAACAGAAAGCAGGCACCGCAACCAGCTGCGATTTTGAAGAGAGTAGAACCACTATCTGAAGAAGACGACAGTCAAGCTTCCGAAAACCCAACAGCAGCAACAGGACAAGGAATACCGAATCAGCTCAGCTTAACCAAGCCTCACACCCTAAAAGCATTTCTCGCTTGTCAACACACCCACCATCAGGACCTTGGCTACACCCCAACAGCAACTATCAGGAGGAGACCGAAACTTCGATGGAGCACCTGTGCACCATAGTTGGAGCTCCAAAGCTCCACCAAAACCCATCTTTAGAAGCTTAGAAGCGGAAAGCACTGCACTCTAAAGGAAAAGAACCTACACCACCTACATCGATCTTCACTTATGAACAACTAAACTCAAACTTACTCATAATGCTTGATCACCCTCCACCATCAAATTCCACCAGGAGATTCCAGTGAACATCAGCGAAAAACAGATCCCAAGAGAATTTATCACCAAGCTTTGAAAAAATATAACTTCAACAGACGCAATGGCTGATCTAACAACATTAGAACGCCTAGTCCCACCAAGCTTTGAATAACTTTGGTCGAGACAGTCCAAGTTTCGCTAGATGATCTGCCACACCATTAGTCCCTCTCGGACCGTAAACTAAAGACAAATGCTAGAATTTACCCCGTAAACAATCTAATTCTTCAAAAAGATCCCACCATCGCCAGGGTCTTAGAGCGATAGAACCGGTCCAATTCAAAGCAAGTTGGGAGTCAGATTCCACTATCAAATTCCAAAGACCAAGCCAACCTGTTTCTAATAAAATCTCCAAGGTTGTTTTTATAGCTAACAATTCTGCCAGATCCGAATTTTCAGCATGTATAGGACTTGAGAATTTCGCTTTAATATTACCTTTAGAGTCTCTCAAAATACCCCCACATCCTGCCAACGAATCTTTGAACGCACCATCAACGTTAAATTTTAAAGATCCTGCTGCAGGGGGATTCCAAGCCAAACAAGGAGGGTTTATAGCAAGACAGCCTGTTGGATCGTTCCACCAATCCGCTTCGACAAGAATTAAAGATTCATTTACTGCCCTAATCCACAAAAAGGCCCTCATTTTTACGCAAAACGGTAGGTCTTTCAGAGATGTAGATTTATTCTCAAAAATTAGCTCGTTCCTTGCCAACCAGATTCCCCATAAGGCCGCTGCAGCTGAAATTAGCCACTGATTTTGTTGTGCCAGACCAAGACAACGAAAAGCAAAATGACAAGAATTCATCGAAGCTCACCGGATCAGGCCAAACAATTGCCCACCAATTACAAAAGTTCCTCCAAAAGTCGCAAATAAACCTACATTCAAAGAAAACATGAGAGGTTGTCTCCAAGCCCGACTTACACCAATGACACTATTGACGTGCCAATGATGTTCTGATTGATGCTGAAGCACAAGTTGCTTTTAATCATTTTTAGCACCCTACCTATGAGTGTTAGTAATAGTACCTTATGTTTATTGTATAGACATTATTTTGATTATTAATTTATTAATATATATTTTCTTGTTTTATAATAATATTTTTGAATCATATTATTAATTATTTAAATACTCATAATTGATTATTGTTTTGTGAATAATAATGAGTTAAGATTGTTATGAAATTTGATCGATATTCATGAGATAAAAATATACGCATAAGATACAAATCAAATTTAAATGTATTTGTTGAGAATAAATATTGGACTTATCCATTTTGAGATTGATATATGGATATAAAGTCATAAATTAATCTCCAACAGTTATATCACTAAATCCTTGAACATGAAATCATTGTAGTTCTTTAACACAACGAATATTGTGTTATAGCATAATCAAACTTTGTCATTAATGGAAAAATATAAAGGTTATGTTAGATCATAATAAAAATCATATAGTGAGATATGAATGATTAAGATATAATTTATATTGTTAGGACTCATGCATCTTAACTCTTTCATCCAATGTTAGATTAGGAAAATTTTAATAATTTCAATAGTAGAAAAGGCAACTTGGTACCCTCAGAAGTGTCTCCATTCAATAGACAGAGGCTTATTTGTCGTAGTAAGACCAAATAGAGAGGTGTTTGTCTCTCTTTGATGAGACAAATGCATATAGACACTCATAGTTGCAATGGTGGATACATCTCAATATAGGTTCAAGCAATGGCATTTTAACGTTTTCGGGTAATTCCTATTACCAAGATGAAGGCATCTTAACTCTTTTAATCGGTGATTAAGAAGAGTTTATAGAGTTGCGAGGGCATATCAATGCTCTTGTCCGGTTTAGATGTGGTAAATTTGTATGTGGCACCATATAACAGGTATAACATAGGCATCTCAATGCTCTTGATCGGTTTAAATGGGGCATCTCAGTTTACAACACCGCACAATATGTATAACAGAGGCAACTTCACGCTTTAAATTCTGCAGGTATCAACTGAGGCATCTTTATCTTGGTAGAAATGAAGAGTTGAAATACCTCTTGCTAGGGCTACGGGTGTAAATGAGCCGATTCGAGCTCGAGTATTGTTGAGCTCGACTCGACTCGAAAACTCTGAAATGAAGCTCGACTTGATTCAAAAACTCGCGACCTTAATATTTTTAAGTTCAGCTCGAACTCGAAATCCTAAACTGAAGCTCGTGAGCAGCTCGAAATGAATTTTTTTTTTAAACTTAACTAGATTGAAGTCTCAAGCTCGAACATGAATCTTAAATACATAAAAGTCTTACTGTATTTTTTTTTAAAAAAATCAACACATAAATGTTAATATTATTAATAATTTATTTCTTTTAAATAAAATCTTAATATATTATATTTTCGAGTTGCTCACGAGCTTTTCGAGTCGAGTATCAAGCAACTCGTTTCGGCTCGTTAAGAATTCGAGTCGAGCTTGAGCTTGAGTCGAGTTCATTCGATTTGAGTATTTATCGAGCCTTGACCGAGTCGATCTCGAGTAGTTCACTATCTGTTTCGTCTCATTTACAACCCTAGCTAGGGCAAATGACATCTCAACACTCGTCAAGGTATAATGCAATCACTCTTATTTCTAGAGCGGAGGCTCTTCATCTCCTTGGATGGTTTCCATAAGTCATAAGCTTGAGGTGGAAGCATTCCAACTCCCAGTGAAGGTAATTCAACATTGTCCGAGGGTGAAGGCATCTTTGTTTCCCTCGGATAATGAAGGCATCTGAGCTTTTCTGGTCAGTAAATGTGGAGGCAGCTCAATGCATTTAATAATGGGGGAAAACATCTCCAGTATGACGGCACAATGAAAGCATTTCAATGTCATGGCATCATGAAAGTGGATATAAATATTTTCCAAAAACTATTAACATAAGAGGATGGTCTATGATCGATGTACCTTTTGGGAGATTTTAATCTTTAGCGGAGGAATAAAAACTTGGACAATGTTCAATTAAAGGTGTTTACCACACTATAATGTACAATTGTAAACAAAACCATATGTCGTACAAGTGTGAGAACTATATCAGGTAGGATAAGTATGCCTCCCTTTGTTGGAGGCATTGAACAACCATCGAAGTTTATCTTTTATTTTTCTAGCCATTAGTTGATGACCCCCTAGTAGGTCTATCCTCATGTGTTGCGTGAATTTCTTCTCTATGGCTGCCTTATCGCACGTATTGGTCCAAGGCCATGTTTCTGACAACTTATTCCATCATGTCCTTGAGGTATACACATCGTTCGATATTATGCCCCTATTATTTACGATGCTTGCAATGATGGTCATTGTTTCTCCAAGGACCATGCTTCATACGAGGAGGAGTTTTCAATATCCCAAAGTCTCCAACCTAACGGAGGATATCAGCTAGGAACGTGTTATGGAGATTGTAATTAGTGTAACTCTAAAACAGACCCTTCTGCTACTTTTCGGCCACGTGGATTCTCCAATGATGATCCAATCGATCCTTTCTCTCTCTACTTTCAGAGGACAAAGAACC